AAGGGGGGACTCTGATGTGAAGGGGGGACTCTGATGTAAAGGGGGGACTCTGATGTAAAGGGGGGACTCTGATGTAAAGGGGGGACTCTGATGTAAAGGGGGGACTCTGATGTAAAGGAGGTTCCTTATGTGAAGGAGGGGCTCCTGGTGTAAAAGCAGGGAACTCTTATGTGTATGGGGGATACTCCACATCATTTATTTGTCTTTTTTGCCTGGGGTCCCCCCTTAAAATCCATACTAGACCCCCGTCTAGGATAGGGGGGTTGGTATTGATTGTATTTGGGGGGGAATGACACTTTATTTTTTAACTTTTTTTTACATTTGTTTTACTTTTTACAAGTTTGAGAAGCTCTGGTTTTACCATCGTTCAGCCATTGGTCTACACAAAAAAAACATCTCCCAGTATCGTGAATATCTTCCAAATGATTTTATTTTAATTGAAATGATGTATTTTTTATATTTACCAGATAAATATCACCATTCTAATGACATCATTCCATGTGACAAGTCTATTGATTCAGCACCCGCAAACGTCCATTCTTGTTCTGTCCCGAGAAACGGTCTTAGTTAAAGGAGAACTATGGGGGGTCAGTGTTTTTCCCCATAGTTCTCCTCAGGGTCACAGGAGGACATAAACTAGCGTCCTCCCGTCACCCTAAGCTACAGCTCGCAGATGCCGCAGCCGGGACGGATCTCGTCAATACTGTCTGGATCCGCCCAGCTGCGGGATTGACAGCTGGCTCTGCCTATCCAGAGGCAGAGCCAGCTGTGCCCGCCCCCTCCCCCGTCCGTTCCGCCAGTCAGCGCTGGAAGGGGGGAATCCCTGCAGGGAGCCGTTGGTGACAGTCACCGCTCTCTGCAGGGATAGATCGAGGAGTGAGCAGGCGCAGGTATGTGTTCGCTCACTTCCCGATCTACTGAGCCGACCTGTGACAGTCTCATTGTCACAGGTCGGCTCAGATTCTGAGGCTGAGTGATTTTCACTCCCCTCATAGTTCTCCTTTAAGAGGCCAAACTGGAGGAGCGGCAGGCAGTGGGTTCTATGGGTTCTAATTAGAGGAGCTCAGCTGGGTTCGGGTGTAATTCAATTTTAGACTCGTCACATGGAAATCACGGGAAGCAGGAACGTGGAGTCACATTTATAGGACGGGCTCCAATGGGGAATAAGTGGAAGTCACAAATTTATGGTGCAAAATGTAAGCTGGGTTCCCTTTATGTGTTTAACCTGTCATCAGATGTATTTGTACACGTCAAGTGCAGAATGCTCAGCAATGAGTAAATGTAACAATGATGACTATTGCCCCTTATGCCCTATCAGGGGGGAACTGCCCCTATCATGGACTCGCTGTGGTTTCATCTCTCTAGTGGGTGCGGGGTGTGACGGGGAGACTTATTGACCCAACTGTGAGAAAAGAAGAGAAGGAATTGATGGGCAACATCCAATAATCAATACTGTATTGAACATTTAACAATCACAACAGCTTCACACCCATAACAAGACACACAAAATAAATTCTAATAAATGGTAATGTATCGAAAACAGACAATAGGACTGAGTACATTCCAGTATCCAGGGCCGTCCTCTCTCGCCTCTACCATACGAACATACACTGTCTCTGCTGCCCCAAGGCCAGGTTCCTCAATGTGCCTCCCTCCCTGCCAACCTCCACCCCCCCACCCCATGGAGAATAGCAACCAGATGGCTTGGGCGGCAAGGTTAGTTTAAATTTTTTTTATTACTTTTTACATTTAAAAAAAAAAAAATGTAACTTTTTTAGATTTGCATTTATCTTATTATCTTTTACTTTTTTATTTATGATATTTTTATATTATTTTTTACTTTAATCACCTTTTTAATTTGTATTATCTTTTTTCTTATTTTTTATTTTTTTATTTTTTTTAAATTTCACTTAACTTTATTGCCATCACACAGGAGCTAACAAGCCCCTGTGTGATAGCATTTGGAGGTGACAGGTTTTCTTTATAGAACCTGTCACTTCCAATACAGGACTTCTACCGCAGCGCTGTGCTGGCTCTCCTGTGACAGCTGAGAGGGGGCTCTCCCGTCTCAGTGTTTACATGGAGCAGAGCGCAGAACGGCTCCCCACTCTCCATCCTGAAAAGAGGTCCCCGCTGTATATGTAGTCCTGCTTGCTACCCAGAACTTCATGTCCCGGGCGTCGGGCGATAGAAATTCCACACCCCTGTTGCCCCTCAGGTTACTTCCCTATTTAAACCCGGCCTGCACACCTACAGATTGCTGGGTTGTCTTCAGCCCTCCTGTGTCCTGCGATTTCCTGTCCTTGTCTACTGGATTTGGCCCGGATATTGCCTTTTTACTGCTCTTGCCTGCAGCCTGCCCCCGACCTCGGATTGATTACTGGACTTGCCTCTGCCTCTGCCTCATCCTTTTGGTAGCGTCCATGCTCTCTTGGTTTGACCTCGGCCTGATTGACCCTGAATTCCCGGATTGTCCCAGTTCTGCTACAGAACCAACCTTCAACTTGCACGGTATAACACCACTGGCACCCGTGCCACTCGTTGTCTGCCAGGTCTCTGTCTCCACCTCCAGAGTCTTCAGGACATGAGGTGCACAGGAAGCCTCCTCACACGGTCAGTCTCCACCCAGGTACATGACAAGGGGGGAATACAATCTCATATTTATGGGCTCTGTATGTCGCCATACTGGCTTCTCATTGGTCTTATCAGATGATCTTCTTTTTATCAGGACAGAGTGCTACACCTACTGATGACTTGTATCTGCACATGTGTGCCCCAATCATACAACATGAGATCTCTGCCAGGAATCAGTGCAACACTCCAACCCCCCCTCCACATGGCCTCCCACCAGAATGGTCCAACCGAGGCCAAGTTGTATGAAAGAAGGAATATGAATTATTGGGGGCACGGGGACACTTCAGCAGTGGAGACTCCATGTCTCATAGGCATTCAGGACTTGCAGAGCTCGGCTATTAGGGCCTCGGGACAAACATGTTATTATAACGATGGCACTGGAAGGGGATGAGAAGAGGGTGAGGTTACCTTTCCGCTCCTTCAGGTATTCGGGGTCAACCAAAACAACGCCATCTAGAGGGATGAGAAGAAGAAAATTACTGTGAACGAGAGAGAGAAAGGAGAGGGGGAGAGAGAGAAAGAGAGAGAGAGAGAAAGAGAAAGAAAGGAGAGGGGAAGGGGGGATAGAGGAAGAGAGAAAGGAGGGGGAAGGGGGATAGAGGAAGAGAGAAAGGAGAGGGGAAGGGCGGATAGAGGAAGAGAGAAAGGAGAGGGGAAGGGCGGATAGAGGAAGAGAGAAAGGAGAGGGGAAGGGCGGATAGAGGAAGAGAGAAAGGAGAGGGGAAGGGCGGATAGAGGAAGAGAGAAAGGAGAGGGGAAGGGCGGATAGAGGAAGAGAGAAAGGAGAGGGGAAGGGCGGATAGAGGAAGAGAGAAAGGAGAGGGGAAGGGCGGATAGAGGAAGAGAGAAAGGAGAGGGGAAGGGCGGATAGAGGAAGAGAGAAAGGAGAGGGGAAGGGCGGATAGAGGAAGAGAGAAAGGAGAGGGGAAGGGCGGATAGAGGAAGAGAGAAAGGAGAGGGGAAGGGCGGATAGAGGAAGAGAGAAAGGAGAGGGGAAGGGCGGATAGAGGAAGAGAGAAAGGAGAGGGGAAGGGCGGATAGAGGAAGAGAGAAAGGAGAGGGGAAGGGCGGATAGAGGAAGAGAGAAAGGAGAGGGGAAGGGCGGATAGAGGAAGAGAGAAAGGAGAGGGGAAGGGCGGATAGAGGAAGAGAGAAAGGAGAGGGGAAGGGCGGATAGAGGAAGAGAGAAAGGAGAGGGGAAGGGCGGATAGAGGAAGAGAGAAAGGAGAGGGGAAGGGCGGATAGAGGAAGAGAGAAAGGAGAGGGGAAGGGCGGATAGAGGAAGAGAGAAAGGAGAGGGGAAGGGCGGATAGAGGAAGAGAGAAAGGAGAGGGGAAGGGCGGATAGAGGAAGAGAGAAAGGAGAGGGGAAGGGCGGATAGAGGAAGAGAGAAAGGAGAGGGGAAGGGCGGATAGAGGAAGAGAGAAAGGAGAGGGGAAGGGCGGATAGAGGAAGAGAGAAAGGAGAGGGGAAGGGCGGATAGAGGAAGAGAGAAAGGAGAGGGGAAGGGCGGATAGAGGAAGAGAGAAAGGAGAGGGGAAGGGCGGATAGAGGAAGAGAGAAAGGAGAGGGGAAGGGCGGATAGAGGAAGAGAGAAAGGAGAGGGGAAGGGCGGATAGAGGAAGAGAGAAAGGAGAGGGGAAGGGCGGATAGAGGAAGAGAGAAAGGAGAGGGGAAGGGCGGATAGAGGAAGAGAGAAAGGAGAGGGGAAGGGCGGATAGAGGAAGAGAGAAAGGAGAGGGGAAGGGCGGATAGAGGAAGAGAGAAAGGAGAGGGGAAGGGCGGATAGAGGAAGAGAGAAAGGAGAGGGGAAGGGCGGATAGAGGAAGAGAGAAAGGAGAGGGGAAGGGCGGATAGAGGAAGAGAGAAAGGAGAGGGGAAGGGCGGATAGAGGAAGAGAGAAAGGAGAGGGGAAGGGCGGATAGAGGAAGAGAGAAAGGAGAGGGGAAGGGCGGATAGAGGAAGAGAGAAAGGAGAGGGGAAGGGCGGATAGAGGAAGAGAGAAAGGAGAGGGGAAGGGCGGATAGAGGAAGAGAGAAAGGAGAGGGGAAGGGCGGATAGAGGAAGAGAGAAAGGAGAGGGGAAGGGCGGATAGAGGAAGAGAGAAAGGAGAGGGGAAGGGCGGATAGAGGAAGAGAGAAAGGAGAGGGGAAGGGCGGATAGAGGAAGAGAGAAAGGAGAGGGGAAGGGCGGATAGAGGAAGAGAGAAAGGAGAGGGGAAGGGCGGATAGAGGAAGAGAGAAAGGAGAGGGGAAGGGCGGATAGAGGAAGAGAGAAAGGAGAGGGGAAGGGCGGATAGAGGAAGAGAGAAAGGAGAGGGGAAGGGCGGATAGAGGAAGAGAGAAAGGAGAGGGGAAGGGCGGATAGAGGAAGAGAGAAAGGAGAGGGGAAGGGCGGATAGAGGAAGAGAGAAAGGAGAGGGGAAGGGCGGATAGAGGAAGAGAGAAAGGAGAGGGGAAGGGCGGATAGAGGAAGAGAGAAAGGAGAGGGGAAGGGCGGATAGAGGAAGAGAGAAAGGAGAGGGGAAGGGCGGATAGAGGAAGAGAGAAAGGAGAGGGGAAGGGCGGATAGAGGAAGAGAGAAAGGAGAGGGGAAGGGCGGATAGAGGAAGAGAGAAAGGAGAGGGGAAGGGCGGATAGAGGAAGAGAGAAAGGAGAGGGGAAGGGCGGATAGAGGAAGAGAGAAAGGAGAGGGGAAGGGCGGATAGAGGAAGAGAGAAAGGAGAGGGGAAGGGCGGATAGAGGAAGAGAGAAAGGAGAGGGGAAGGGCGGATAGAGGAAGAGAGAAAGGAGAGGGGAAGGGCGGATAGAGGAAGAGAGAAAGGAGAGGGGAAGGGCGGATAGAGGAAGAGAGAAAGGAGAGGGGAAGGGCGGATAGAGGAAGAGAGAAAGGAGAGGGGAAGGGCGGATAGAGGAAGAGAGAAAGGAGAGGGGAAGGGGGATAGAGGAAGAGAGAGAGGAGCGGGGAAGGGGGGAATAGGAGGAAGAGAGGAGAGAGGGAGGAATAGAGGGGATAGAGGAAGAGAGAAAGGAGAGGGGAAGGGGGGAATAGGAGGAAGAGAGGAGAGAGTGAAAGGAGGGGGGAAGGGGGATAGAGGAAGAGAGAAAAAAAAGGGGGGAAGGGGGATAGAGGAAGAGAGAAAGGAGGGGGGAAGGGGGATAGAGGAAGAGAGAAAGGAGAGGGGAAGGGGGGAATAGGAGGAAGAGAGGAGAGAGGGAGGAATAGAGGAAGAGAGAAAGGAGAGGGGAAGGGGGGAGAAAGGAGAAGCAGGGAGAAAGAGAGATGGAGGCGCAGTGGGGGAGAGAAGGGGGCTCAGGGAAATATATATACAGTATATACATTGTACATAGAGAGGGAAGCAGAATATACAGAGATATATATATATATAAACAATGAACAGTCCATATCTATAAACATCCCCATTAGCTTGTAATAGCTGAGTCTGGCCGAGGTCACAGAAAAGTTGGGGGAGGTCACAGAGAGGTCAGGGGGTCACAGAGAAGTCAGGGAG